CCGTAGTCTTTTCGACACACTTGTGGGGCTTCTGCGGTCCTTCAGCTCATGCGTGGGGTACTCTGCGCCCATCTTCACAGCCGTGTGCATCGTGTGGATGACCCAAGTGTGGTGCCACGACGCCTTTTTCCTGGACGTGTACAACAAATTCTTCTCGGCCCCCGCCTTCCTAGGTAACATGTTTTCACCAAATATATCTCATGTATATTGTGTGGCGGACAGGCTTTTACGTGAATAATGCCTCTTGGCCAAGCGGGTCGTACGTGGCCGAAGGGACGCCGCCCGTTGTGACCTACTTGGCCGAAACCATTGTCACCGCCGGCGGCGGCAGTTTCGGGATCGCCATCGCCATCTCGTCCATTTACCGCCGCATCAGGCACAAGAAGTATGTTTGATAAGACAGCAGCCACATGAATTAGCTACCAACTTCCCTTATGACCGCGCATTGGCTGCTGACGTAGGTGGCTCGTGTCCACGGTGTGGTGTCGGTCCAACTCGGTGCTGTCGGCCCTCCATTTGCCCAACTGCATCACGGCCCTCCCGCTGGATCCTTCCAACGGCATCAAAATGGGCAACAAAATGTATTGCAAACCGAGGTACACAAAAACAACTTTCATTGACAATGCTGAAGTTGTTGTGTTGGATGTCAAGTACCATCGCCATCATGGGGTACACGGCCGTCGTCGAGCGTCAGTACGTACGATTCAGAATTTCTCGAGGGTCGGCCATAGTGTTTACTCTGTCACATCGTAGAAAGTGGGGCAAGGACAAGCGGGATGCCAACCAACTACCGAGCCAACTAATCAGCATCTACGCGCTCTTGCCGGTGATGGTCGTGCCGTCATGGGTGTCTTCCTTCGGTACAGTGGACCACAACCATTTCACGCCCACCCCCGCCACACGCCTCGCCCAAGCTAAGCGGTTCATGCATACCCGTGGGTCGTGTGTCGTCTGATGCTTTGTTGACATTTGAACACTCGTGGGTATTGGCTGGGCTGTAGGCAGTGGGTGTGTAGTTTCTAGGTGTATAGAGTACGGTTCATACGAAAATCAGAAACGTTTTTGTTTTCTTGTTGGGTGGCACCGACGCAAACACTTCAAGTAGCATTCATGTGGCTACGTTAGGATTCCATCCTTCCATTCGACGGGAGGCTGCGGGAACAGGCGATAGTTAGTAGCAACGAGAATTCCATGAACATTGCCAACACAACATAATGTTCCATCACGCTTCAAGTATAGCTAGAAGCATCTATCACTGGGATCGGCGCGGTTTGTCGTCTGACGTCGCCGAAGCATCTTTGTTGCTGTCCGCCAAACGCCGCACCTCGTTGTCCAGCTCGTGGACGGCGAACATTTCGACAATTCGGCGGTTTCGTACTTTCTCGCACAAACCCAGTTAATTTTTTAAATGACATTTCAAAGTTATATTATTACATTATAACTTAACGAAGTTAAGGGTGCGTCTGGTAACATTTCAAAAATAATATTCCATTTTCTCGCAAAATGGGACTAACCAAAATGCCATTTTCAAAATGGATGTAAAAGGTCCATTTGTAATGTCGCGTTTTGGACCTCTTCAACGAGTAAATCCCACGTGGAATTATTCGATTTGGGTTAAACCTCTGCAAGCAAGACATCTTTCAATTTTGATCAGATTTGTTGAATAAATATTGCAATATTTCCGGTTACCAGACGAACCCTAACCTAATGGTTGGGCGATATGCCATAAACTTTCGCGTGCAAGTAGATCTCGATGGTGCCTATGGAAGTTGATAAGAGTTCACTAAGTTGGGACAATAGTGGGCAAGAATTGGAGCTTCAAACATTCCATTTTTGAAAAATATAGCTTACTTTGTTCATGAATATCGCAATCATCTAACACTATTTGGTTTACTATCACACGCCGTAGTACATAAGGTCACAACCGTGTATGTAAAGTTTCGCATTGATCCCCTCAATCGTTATACACTTATACTGGCCTAAAGATGGTGTTACGACGATTTCTCCAAAGATAGCAATAAGTTAACAACCATTGTTTGTCATAAATTATAACATAACGTGATCGACCATTGATCGGCCAAATGACCATCGATCGGCCAAGGTGTTTTTCCTCCTTCGAGCGGCGCAACGACAAGATCGTCGTCGCCAGCAGTGAGAATGTTAACTTGGAGTGGCGGCGCAACAACTTGCGCGACTTCCTCCGGCGCAGGGACGGCATCCACTTCGGCTGTTTGCGACGGCGCGGGCGCGGCAACGGCTTCGAGCGACGACGCAGGTGTCGCTGGCACGGCATCCACTTTGGCTGTTTGCGACGGCGCGGGCACGGCACCGGCTTCGGGTGACGCCGCAGATGTCTCGGGCACGGTACCAGCTATGGGTGACGCCGCAGATGTCACATCTTCAAGTACGACGGCATCATGCACAATGATAGGCATGTCCCATCCTCCGTTGCGGGTCATTGGTGGTGGTGGACCCCATCCGGCGTTTCGAGTTTGCACTTGGCTGCGGTCATTTGTATTGGCAGGCGAGTGTGGGCGGCGGCCGCGGTCATTTTGAGGCGAAGGAGTCCGGGGACGGCCGCCACCTCGACCACCGCCTCGACCACCGCCACGACAACCACGGCCAGAGAACGAGTAGTCCGCGTTGCGTCGGTCGTGGTAATACGGGCGGTCGTTACGGCGGTCATCGTAGTATGGTCGGTCGTTGCGGCCGTTGCGGTTGCTGGACAGACGATCCTCGTTCACTTGGAAGCGGCGCTGCACTGATGCCTCGCGCTGGCGGCGACGTCGCTGAGTTGCGGTTTCACGACCTGACGGATCGGGCACCACCACCATCGGCACCGCTCCAGCGCCGATGGCCGTGAAGGTCATGTTGCAAAGGAATTGCATGGACATGTTCGTGTTCGTCATAGCTAACCAGGGAGAAAATGAAAAGAGGCAAGACCATTCAAATTTGTTTATACGGCAGTTGAGAGACAGCACATGAGGAAACTCAACGATTGGTAGAAAAGGTTTGCACGTTAGGTTTATACATTGATTTAAATTGTTAGGATCTAAAATTTAACTGCTCCTGCAGCTCAGTGGTATGTCG